TCGGGCTTCAAGGTTTATGCCGAATCTTCATCCAGCTTTCCGCCGTGCAGCTGTCGTAAGAATGACGTTTGCCGCCATGATAAACTCAAGTGGTTGATGATGGAGAAGATCATCGCCGCTTCGCCTGAAAGCGTGGGCATTCCCTGAAAAACATGCTGCTTTATGGACATGGCCAGGGGCAGTCCGGGTTAAGGGTGAGGCGTTTTGGGGCATTCAAGTGTGAGGGTTCAGAGTTCGGGCTTCCAGCTTTATTACGTTCTACACAACTTTGCCGGGCTTCGAGAGGCGTCGGCTGTCAATTGTGATAGGTTGTCGTCAGTGCAGTTCGGAGCGCCTTAGGGACTCTGCACGGGGGCAGCTAGTGAGCATATCCCGGAATATCGACTCTTTAGTGCCGGGTGCAGTGGGCCAAGCATCTAGGCCACACAACTTTGAATGGAGCTCCCACATGCCCTTGAGCAGTAGCAATGGCGGCAAGTCTGGAGATCAAGCGAAAGAGAAGACATCAAGTCCTGAGCCCCGCCTGCTTCACCAGAAAGCCCTGAAACCGGCACGTCGTTTGCAGTCTGGGAAGATACTAAGTTTGACTAAAGCGCAGAGGCCTTGCAGTCCAATCGTTGCTTCGTATGGAAGAGAAAAGTAGAACGACGGGCCGTTTGCTGCGAGCATGCTACGATGTGTGCCTCCAGGACACCATGATCGATAGTCAGCTCCTCATGACTCAGGTGGGAACGGTGGGGACAGTAGTCGCAAGTGGGCACCGCCTGTGTTTGGGTCGGCATCCTGTGCAGCTCTCGGCGAGCGCCGGGCGCGGAACGCCCGAGACCTCGGACCCTTCGCCCTTCTGCTCAACACGAGTCAGCTGGCAGAGGATTCAACTTAGGCCCCTGGGCATAGACCAAGAGCTGTCGCCGTTGAGAGCAGAGTCGCCTTGGGAGTCTGCCTGCCTGAGCTTCGGGATCTCCAAAGAGGGGGGGTCGACTGCTCCGGCCTTGCATGCCAGGTCCGCGTTCCTGGACTTCTTCGGCATTTTTTACACGTGCAGTGCGTCTGGCGCTCTGTGGCACGAGCAGGGAGTGGCAGTTCTCGATGCCGTGTCACGCAAGGTCAAAACGAGATGAGTCGCCTGGTTCCATCCGAATGTATTGATGAGAAAGGAGAAGTCCCCAGCTCTTGCAGACAAGCTTTCTGAAGCCGAAGCTTCCGAGCAGGACGACGTCATCACAGAGACCCTGAGATCACAGAAGCGAAATGCTTGTGTGAGAGAAGTGGGTCAGGTCTCTGTTGTTCCGCAGATTATCCGCACCTACATCATGAGTGTTGCCGTATTGGCAAGTGAATCAGTGCTCACAAAGGCAACGTCAGGACCAGAGCAAGACTTTCCAGAACAGTGATAGTGGCTGGAGTTTACTCGTAGTGTCTGTTCCCGTATTCAGTGCATGGGAGCGCAAGCCTCCGTTGGGGCGTCGCGGGATGCCCCGAAGGCTGAAAGCCAAATTAGGCGCGGGCGCCGGCCTGCAGCCATCTGCAGCCTCTGAGCCTCTGAGCCTTTCCGGCCCGGCTCGATGAAAGCAGCGGAAGACTGCTCGCTGCAGTCTGCACACATCTGAGCCGCTCACCTCGTCTGCCTCCTCTTTCCACAGCATGCTCAAAGCATTCCTGAGCCCCAGACGGCGTAAGCTTCACAGAGTCAAGAAACGGAGTCTTGCGTAGCTCATACTCGCAGTATGAATGTAGACTCTTGCGTTGCCGCCAATGGCTTCCTCCAAGCAGCTGGCCGCGTGGCTCCTGATTGGCCTCGCCACTGCAGGCTTGCTGCTGCCAGCTTTGATAATTCTGGTGCTTCGACCACAGGAAGCGAGGAGAGTTGCCAGGCTAAATTCAGGACAGCGTGTCAGCTGTCGCAAAGCCTTGCAATGCCTCACATACCGCGGTCAAGGTGCACGAGGCAGTTCATGCAACAGCCCCCCTCGACATCTACCTGGTGTTGGACGCCAGTGGATCTGTCGATGAGAGCGACTGGCGTGAGAGCTTGCTTTTCGCGAGAGACCTGTCAGTTCAACTGAATGCATCTGTCCCGCAGTTCCGTGCTGGCTTGGGGCAGTTTTCCAGCAACTTCCATGACATCTTCCCGGTGAGCGAGGATGTGTCTCTGCTCGCAGCGCTGCCTCAGGGTGTTCAGAAGAAAAGTGGTCGCACCGAAATGGCCAAAGCTTTGTGTGGCAATTCCTTCGACAGCTCCACCAAACAGGAGGCCGGAACTTGTGTTCTTCACTTTGCAGTACCAGACCAGGGTGCAAGAATTCTGCGCGGTTGACCGTGCTGCCAGGAGGCCAAGGATCGCTGTGTTGGCGGTGCCTACGGCACGCTGATGGCAGCGCCGGCACAGCTGCCAGTGGATCTACCTCCAAATTGCGAGGAGCTGTCCAGCCTGCTGCCAAAACTAAAGCCACAAAGGAGAGGATTTCCTGTCTTATGGATGCACCTTCTGTCGGCAAGGTTCCCGCCTGATCATCTTGGTCACTGACGGAAGGTGCGATCCAAGTGCTGCGTGTGCCAAGCAAGGCTGCTGGGTTTTTTCTTCGCAGGCCTGGCCCGGAGGACAAGTCCAAGTTGGCCTCCGCTTTCTTGAAGTCAAACACCAACGTCACGGTTCTGGGCATCCTGGTGAAGCACGATGCCAAGGCAAAAGGGGCCTTTGAGCAGCACGGCATGTTCCTCCTCGTGCGCTCCCTGGCCAGGCCGTGGAGGGCCAGATCCTCTATGCCCTCTCTTCCTGCTGCCCAGCGGAATCCATGAAGGTCACTGGTACCAAAGACGTCCATGTGGCTTGCGAGCTCCCGATGAATGAGAGCTGCCATTACATGGCCAGCATGAAGGACGTCGGGAGACACACTGCAGTGTATGGCTTTCTGCTGCTGCTTTTGCAGGACTATGCTGCTCTTCGGAGGAGTATTGATGGAATTGTCCGGACCCTCGGTGACAAGCTCCAGTGCGAAGGACTGGCTCGGCAAGACAGGTGTCCTTAATGTATCATTGTCCAATCGGAAGGGATGGAGGCTTCTGCGTGCTGAATCTATGAGGAGTACAGGAGTCGGTCTCTTTCCTGCCGGACGAGCGCAGCTTGTGGTTTCTGGTGCTCCTGTTGCATGGCTCCGTTTGGTTTCACATACCGTATAATGTAGCATAGCCCAATAAACTATTCCGGTTAAATATGCAACCTAATATGGTTGAAATGTGATACAACAAAACACCATATGTTCCTTCATTTTCGGCTAGGTAGGTCGAAACTTAGGATCATTCTTATCGTTATCGTTCTACAGAGCAGCTGAGCAGCTGTTCATCTGCCATATTTTGGCGGGAGCATTCGCTTCCAGTTTTCGCCTGCTTCAGCTTTTTAACCAGGGCCTGGAGATCAACACTAGTGAAACGGTGAGCTGTTGAAACCGTTTCATGGCCCTACCAATCGAACATCGCTTAGTGATCTAGTACGGACTAGTCTGATTAAGTATAGTATGGTATCATATGGTAGGGTATGGTCAGATCTGGTTTCATACAGAATGATATGATATGCTGTGGTTTGATTTGGTGTGATGCGGTATGATACAATGTCACATGGCATCATCTGATATGGCAAGATATTCCATGATATGGTTCATGCCATGACGTAAGGTATGTGGTATAGTTTTCTATAACATCTGATATTGTAAGGCCTGGCGGCACGGGCCAGCATGGCCGTCGCCGCTCCGATTCTCGACCCTCCCCCCTGCCCTTCAACCACGAGCGCGCGCGCGCCGTACGCCAGCATCAGCAGCATCATGGTCACCGGTCGTTGTTCCTTTCTCGTGCTTTGGGGCCATTNNAACGGCCCCAGAACCAGGTACGGCAGTAATATCGACACCATTGGTGCTTGATTTCTGCTACTCGGGGTCGTTCGTGCTGTACCGGCCTGAAGACTGCCCACCACAGACCCCCCAAAGGCCCACAAACCCCAGCTGATGCTCATGATGCTCGCCCACGCGGCCCCCAAGTCCACACCCGAAGCC